ATATATATATATATATATATATATATATATATATATATATATATATATATATATATATATATATATATAGAGTAATCTTTAACAGTAGTCGCCACTAGATGGTGCCGAAGCTGAACATGACTAGAAAATCTGAAAAAATCAGAATGTTAACAGTGATTTTTATAATCAATATATAGTTTTGCTCTTAGTGTTCAATAAGAACACTAAGAGGTAATTGGATAAGGTTTGATAAGAAATTACATGTTTGCAAATGATATCACACATTTATTAGATGCTATGACACTTGCACAGGGTTTTTTCATAAGAAGTAGTGGCTTCCTGTGCAGAGGGCGGGGCATCTTCATCTGCTTTGTCCAAAACAGACTGAACCACTGTGAGCCCGGCTAAACACCTCTGATCTAAGGTAACAAAACTAGCTTTAAATTAAGGGGAGGACGTGTTTTGATGTTAATTAATGCTGTTTTAATGATAAACGGTAAAGGAAATTGGGCTTTTGTTTGATGCTAGGTGGTTTTAGCTACTTTAAACGTTTAACTAAAGTATTTAAACCGGGTTTTACTTTATTCAAGTGTGAGGAGAAGTGGGCGGAAGTAGGGTGGATTGACAGGTATCCACAGGTGGAGTTTGACTGACGGATAACAGGAATACATTTTCTTTCACTTTCTCCAGGGATTTAGAAATGTTCACCACAGCAACCAAAAACTTTGTGGAGGAGGTGGACGATGGAGGCCTGCTGATCCCGGTGTCCCACCTGAACGACTCCATCGCTGTGCTGACTGTGGTGGTGAAGCGGAAACGTTTCTGGTTCTGGCAGAAACCAAAATATCTTCCAACCGACTTCACCCTGAACGACCTGCTGACGGGGGACACGCCCATAACGCCAGGTAAACCTCACCTGTTTCATCTGAGCATCTGCTTGTAAGAAGATGGCTGCAAATCTGACCTTCTGAAGTACCTTTACAGTTGTGCTGGAGACAGACTTCATCAAATACAGCGGCACCTTTGGAGACAACATCGAGGGGAACGTCAATGCTAAGCTTGTCAAAGCAAACGTGAGCATAGGGGGTAAAGATTCCTCTAAACTCCAGTCATCCTTTGGCAGTTTGAAGAAAGAGGAAGTTGAGGTTCAGAAGCTGCTGCGAGACTCCAAAGACAGGTCAGCTCCACCAGCAGAACCTCCCTTAAAGATCTCTAACAGCAAACCTGATCTGTGCTCAACCATAAAGATTCAGGTCCAGTCAAATATTAACATAAAGACTTTCTGAGAGGTTTTAATGTCAATAACATCTTTTCAGAGAATAATACATTGAAAGTACAGACCACTGAAAGGGATGCTTTTATTTAAATCAGCAATTCCTGACAATATTCCATTATGTTTTGTGTTTCTGTTTTAGAGTGGTGGACATGTCCCACTCTCTGATCCAGCAGATCAAAGAAAAACAGAAACAGGTTCTTTGCATCGTGAAGGAGCGCATCGTGACCACGCAGCCCTGTTCAGTCATCGAGGAGGTGCAGCAGGGCGGGCAGTGCGGAGGGAGCCTGAGCCCCAAAATATCTAAAGTACAGTAGAAGAAAACTTATCACAAACACATGCTTACACTATCTTAACCTGACTTTATGTTGTGTGATGCATTTGTACACTGAGTTCCTCTTTTAGTTTGAACCAACGTAAAGTAGGAGTTAGGTTTCAGTTCTGCACGGAACTGGGAGCGTTACTAAACTATTGGGCGAAAGGAGCTTTACACTGTTCAAGGAAACAGTGTCATTGATTTATCCAGTTTGGTTTGCTTCTTGTTTGTATTGTCCAGCTCAGTCCTCCCTCTCAGCATGCTAAATCTTAAAATTCCATTTACAGGATTTCCAAATCTGGAATATTGTTGAAAGAGGGAGATAATACCCAGATTTTATTCTTCTTCCAACTGGCTACATGAAAATAATCTGTATTTCTAACATTTATTGCAATCCGTGTTTTCTTGTCACCCTAATGCCACTCATCCGTCCACCTAATTAGACTAAAAATCATAAAGGCTGAAAATCTTAAGTCAGGAAGTGTGTCGGAACCATGCCAGCTGCTGCTGGGAATATTTGGGAGTAGAAACAGTCTTTTAGTCAGAATTATGATATTGCAGTTGTTTTGTTATGGGTGTCAGTTGGCTTTAATAAGTCAACTCATCAATGCATGTTTTTCTGAGCATCCTGCTGCCTTGTTATCTCTCCACTAGGTGGCGCTGATGGAAAATGGAAAATTGAGCAAAGACAGCAATGTAACAATGGAGATCCCCACACACACCACTATAGCCTATAGCCTGATTGAGCTGGAGATCAAGCAGGACGGGCACTTTGGTGACAATCCCTTCCATTTTTATAGACTGACTTTTGTTAATTTAATAAGGCATTAAAAAGATCGACTGAGTATTCCAACTGTTTTCCACAGGGTTGTGTGTGATGTCAGGCACCACTGGAGGGTTTGAAGTAGACGGCCATGTTGAGAAGCAGCTGCCGGGCGTGTCAGCAGCACCAGAGGCCTCAGAGAGCCATCTGCTTCAACAGGGTAAAACTAATGTTCTCTTTTTTTTTTACACACTGAAGAAATCAATAATAATTGTTGCATAAAACATCTTTCTGAAGATGTAGGATTATAATAACATGGTAATTATAGTTAATTATGCAGCCAAACGCCTTAAGTTATTCCTCATTTCTTAATGGTTGGATTAAAACTGAGACTTATCTGGCCTTGAACAAGACGTGCTCTGGCTTTAAAGGTTCTCTGCACAGTAACTTCTCTTTTCTGATCAGGGGTTGCTGGCTGTGAATGACAGGAGGCTGAAAACTAAAGGAGATAGAGCTTTTACTACAGTGACCTCCCAGATTTTGGAACTGTCTGCATTCTAACTCGGGATTCGTGGATTCGGTGGTCTTACTTGACAGCTGAAAACTTTTTGCACTATCCATTGGTCTTATTTTGTTCTTCTGAAGCACTTTGTACTATTTTTTCTAAAGATGTTACATAAATAAACATTTATTTACTCAGTCTTTGCACTTATTTTCAGCCAAAAGCCAGACTTTTTAAGGTGTTGGTCTGTGTTGACTCACAATGCGTTCACTACTAGCAGCCTCCATCTAAAGCTTTGTCGGGCTCTTGTACTGCCTTTTTATGGCATTACTTCTCCAGGTTATTTTTTTTACTCCTCACAGTACGTTGCTATAATCAGGTACAAGACTTGTAAGAGCAAAAAATAATGTAGCTAAGGGTTACAGAAAACATTCAGTTATAGATTGTTTGATTAAAAACAAGAAAGTCTGGTTCCTTTAAAGAAAAGAATGAAGAAAACTGGCGCTGCAAGGCTTTTGTGCAGCCCTGTAGTCAGATGCAACACATCCTGTTAAGGTCCTGGGAAAGGCATAAGTATAGTGATGTGTCAAGTGTTTTCCTTTAATCATTCGGGGTATTCAAGCATCTGTCATATGGGCTGCTTATTTTTCTTCTCAAAGCTCAAGCATTAAATTTCCAGGTTTTGTTTGTTCCGCTACTGTTTAAAGTAGCTAAAAATTTAAAGTGAAATTATTTTAAAGTGTATACCAGCAGACATGGGTTGCTAAGAATTCTGGAAATAGAAATATATTAATTTCCCTTTTCTGTTGTCTTTCTCCATATTATCCAGAACTGAAAAATGCTCAAACTGATTGTTTTTTGTTTGGTTTTTCCAGATTAAATAAGAACCATGTTTTCTTTTGTCATATTTAACAGCTTTATTTTGTGCTTGATACATCTTTGTAAAATAAGTGCTGTAAATGTGTTTCTTTCTCCTTAGAACTGCAGAAACTCGAGGATCATTTCCTGCTGCTTTCTGCCCTTCCACCTTCCACCAGGTCGTCTCTGCTCCAGCACATCACAGAGCTGATGCAGGACCCGGCAGCTATCGGGGCACTCCAGAACGCCGTAAGAGACGCACAAAATGTCCTCGGTTTCTTTAACTAAATCAACACGGTAGATAACAGTGGATGCATGTTTTTGTGACAGCTGGAACAGATGTATCAGGATAAAAAAACAAACCTGGATGCTGGATTAATAGAGTCTCAGCAGCAGAAGATCCAAGCAATTCTTGAGGTGCTGCAGCAGCAGTCTAGCGCAGAAGATTCAGCTAGGACATCCATCCTCACTGCATTGCATCTGACTACCAGCGCTTTAGAAGGTAAGAAAGGCCTCCAGTTTGAGAAGGAAAAAAAATACAAGTCTGATCATATTTTTTTTGACCTTGTTAATTAAATTCTTCCAGAGATGTCAGAGGATTGTCTCCCAGTTTTAAGAAAATGTAGTAATCCTGCAACCCTGCAGGCTCTGGAACTACTGGTTAGTGACGATCATTCTACACACATTAGTGTTGCAACTAACTCAGATTACAAACTATATTACTCATTCTTACCTTGCTTCCCCTATGTACGGTCTAGGTGCAGTGTGCATCAGGAAACTCGAAGCCGGCTCTGAGCAGCGCAGCTCTGCCAGATGACGTCTATGAAAGGGCTGAACACCTGTTTGCCTCCTCTAATGTATCTCTAAGCAGAGGCGGCGATGTGGTACAGGCCGAAATCAGGAAGGAGCCAGGAAAACGCCCTCTATTCCTGTGCATCGCCATTAAAAGTCTTGCCTCTTTGGCCCATGACTGATCCAAATTAACCCTCTACAGTATGCTGGATCAGAGGGATTTGTGACTGAATTGTTTTTGAGGGAAGATTGAGGGTTAGAGGTCTTGATCTATAAACTAATATGTTCAAACACAATGGATATCTCCTACAGAGAAGCACTAGCTGATAAATGTGTTCCACCTTTTTCAAAGAGAAAAACATGACCCATCTCAAATAGCTTTAGATAGTTATTTTCCTCTATAAGTATTAAATATTACATTTAATCGTTTTAGGTTTTGACTGTTCTGCCTAGAACACTTAAGGCTGTTTTTTTAAGTACCTCACTAAGAAATGTGTTGGATACAATAATGTCTGTTATTTACAAGCACAGAAAAACAATGTGTCAAGTGGAAGTGAACCGACTCAAAAATAAACCCTTAAGTATTTCATGATTTTATGTTTAGTGTTAAGCTTGTGTTCATACTCTTAATTAAAACCAAGTGAAAAAAATCACTAATTAGTGAAGTCTGTGATTTAAATGATGTATAAACACAGCCCTTGTGTGAAGGTCTCTAAAGGTTTGTTGGTAAATATCAGAGAATGGGTTAGTTTTAAGGATAGATTCTAATCAATCTTCATTAAAAAAATGGAAAGAATAAGGAACAGTTGAAATCCTAACACATGGGAGGAGTAAGAAGATATTTTCCAGAAGCTTCAGACGTGTTAAAGACGTGAGACTGGGAAGAAGATTAAAACCAGACCAACAGTAGAATAAGTTGGATTACAGCAGGTTTAGACCGACTGCAGACATTCATCCAGTGGGTTACTCCCTTTTACACAACTTAAAACCTGATATTAACAACATCCTCCATCAAATCAGACTTTATCCAAATAATGGAAAATTCATATATCATTTTTTCTACTTCACATTTAGTCCAAACATTTAGTCTCACATAAAATTACTTTGCAGATTTGAAATAGACTTTCCAGTGTAAAACAATGTTTAACACGTTCATTTTGTTTTTTAAGTTTTCAAGATTTTGACTTTATAAACCCAAATCTATGCAAAGATGCATTATTGTGATGTTATTACTATGGTATAACCGTATATAGGATTTGCTTACTCTAACAGTCAAAAGAGAAAAAGAAATGAGACCGATCATTAGAAAACACCTGTTACTTTATTAAACATCTGAAAATACATAATCTTAGATCTTGTAAAATATATCTTTTATAAGTAAATCTGAATAATAATTAAAACTGTTAAGTCTTTTTATTATCACATCTAAAGGGATAGTTTGCTGAGATGAAGAAACCTCTTCATGAGCACTGGGTGAGTTAGTTTTTTATAATCTTTTCAGCACAAATGGCACCAAATCCACTATTCTGAGAGTCCAAAACTTTAAACCCTCTACCTGCAGAACACGTAGCATCATAAACAGTAGTTTTTTGTGTTCCAGTGAACACCACAGTATTGCTTTGCTCTGTTTAACTAAAAATGGTGGTCAGAGGGAGAGTTTTCAGACAGAAGGCTGACCTGAAATAATGTAATTACAATTATCAGTCAGTAGATCTAAGTCACAGAAACATGATGAATTAGTGCATTTGTAGTTATGATTTATAGACTGTAAACTTAACACTGAGGTATCACATCCTGTTCTCTGACAGAGCACTCATTTCAGCAGAATAAATAAAACTTTCCTTTACAGATGTGACTGTCTGCAAACTTAAAGCTGATTAAAAGCCTCTTCCGCATAAATACAAATATCCTCTAAAACAAACATAATTGTTACTAAATAAGTACACTTCCTGTGTGTCCGTTATTTTTTTATACAGTTGCATAGTTTACTGGAAAAGAAAACTGGCGAATCAGATTTAAGGTGACTGATGCAGCTTTGTACCACAAGGTTGACGTCCCATAATTCCTGTGTGCAGCAAAGTGTTAAAAAACAAGTTTTTAATTCAAGGCCTGGCAGCTTGGCCGTTGTCGGTCCAGGAGGAGGAGGAAATTCAGTAGACCCAGCTGACTGGAACCCACTGCGGCTCCACAAATAATCGCTCCACGGTGTCTTGAAGCTTGTCGAATGCCTTGTCCAGATTGTCATTGACTATAATCAGGTCAAAGTAGTGGCTGTACGCCCGACGGATCCTGGCGCTCTCATCTACGGTCTTCTTCAAATCGTTCTCCTACATCAAAACAGGGAATCCGGTTATGCTATGATAGCAGAAGCTGCTGCTCAGGAGAAGCAATGATGTCATCAAAATAGGTAAACCAGTTTGTAATGATTACCGTGAGTATTTTGGTAGTGAGGCCAGCATCGACCACAGCTTTGTGCATTTCTCTTAGTGTGTCCAGCTCAGGAGCAGCAATAAAAACCACGAACGGCATGAACTCCGCAGTCCTCAACACTTTTAGGGCCTGTGCATAAACTGTGATGTCATTACTAAAGCCTCAGGGCCACACAGCTCTGCGTGCTGAAGTTAGGCTGACTTACCTGCGGGTTCACATCCAGGATGCATGTGCGGCCAGCCCGAACCACCTCGTGGATGGAGTCAATCTTGGTGCCGTAGAGGTTCCCGTCGTACTCTCCGTGCTCCAGGTATCTGCTCTCCTTGATGTCCCGCTCCATCTCTTCCCGAGTCACGAAACAATAGTTTTGTCCGTCTTTCTCCTCTTCTCTGGGATGGCGCGACGTGACTAAAGCCGGGAAAGTTTAGGAAAGCGATCAAAGCAGAAGCCTTCATTCTCTGTTAAGTTTCTAGTTTATGTAATTCATTGGGATTTTAGTGTACATCATCAGAACAAATGTAATCCAGGTTAGACTGGCACACTCACAGGGCACAGTGGCTCCATATCTAAGAGGATTCATGACAACAAGGCGGTTCTTCAGACTCCTCCTTCCCACCCCCTGGGCTCCAATCAGAACTAGCGTTTTCCTTCGAAATGGGGGCATCTTAGCAACTTCCTCGTAGATCTGCAGCTCATAACGGTCAAACTCTGCTCAAGGCAATGCACAGGCTGAATGAGGACTGTATCATCTCAGACAAATTCAAATGGGAAAAAAAGAAAAACACCAGAAACAATAGTGAGAAACTGTGGTGAAACACACCTGCGTTCTTTGAAGTGAGGTACATCATTTTCTTCTTCTTTTTCTTCGAGGTCAGAGTCCCACAGAGCATTCCTGAAGCACATGCCACCACATGTTAGTGCAAATAGTTTACAAATGAATCCATTAGAGAAACTCAGCAAAGATGTCTGGTAGGGCTGGGCGATAAACTGCTGTTTTTTCTGTTTGCACTGGTGGCTGGTATTTCCTTCCCCTTTAAGACACTGCAGTATATGGGGAATCACATGACTCAAACAATCCAGTCAGAAGCGTAAACAAAGAGATTGGCGGATGAGCCCAGTGAAGAAGCGTCTAACACAGCTGTAAAAAAAATTTATATAATTTAATCCTGTGAAGCTGAGTGAAAGCAGAGATGAAGCTGAGCCAGCAGAGAAGAAGTCCAGAGCGTGTAGGCAAGCCGGTTGTAAAAGAGGGTGTGCAAGTTTAAACGGTGCACATTGTTCTCACTGCATGCTCAGTTCCGTGGCACCAAAATTACACCACAGATGTTGAGCAAAAGAACACAAAATGCAAAGTTTGTCTAAAAACTGGGGGGACAACCCAAAGTAACACATCCAATCTCCATCATTACAGCACAGCCACGCTGTTGAGTTCAAAGATGTGCAAAAGGCTGCATTACCTTTGAGAAAAAATGTTTGCAGGAGAGGAAATATATTTCTCCTGTTCAATAAGACATAAGTGAATGTTTAAAGCTAAATGGGTACAAGACTTTAATATTACATTTAGAGGTAATATGTTATGTGATTTATTAGGTTTATAGGTAAATTATAATTAAAAATCAGTTGCATTTCCTGCACATGCCTTTATTTCTGATAGAGGAGCTGGAGCAATTATCATTATCGAGGTAAAACTGCCCAATTTATTGTGATACTGATTTGAGGTCATATCGCCCAGCCCTAATGTCTGGTATGATGGGGAAACTGGGGAGGTGCCAACCTGTACCAGCGGTGTCCCAGTCTCTCCTCACAAAAGCTTTCCTCTTCTCCTCCAAGACCTGACTAGGAATCAGGCCAGTGGCTCCACCAACAACTTTGCGTGCCTTTGTGAAATAAAAAAATAAATAAATAAAAAAAAAGACCTGTTATCAAACATCTGACTCAAGAAGACAATAACAACTATGACAGAATTTCACTGAATCTTGATTAACAGAACTTGTTATAAGCCCTGGATGGTAGGAAACCCAGGCGATAATGCTACCTCTTCAATTTATTTATTCCTTTGAATACAACACTTCAGCACACAAAAATATAATGGGAATGTTTCTACACAAAAGAAACTATGCAGACTGTTCAATTTCTTAAATTTGTTTCTGACTACAGAACACTGAAAATCAATATCAATCTATGGAAAGAATATATTTCTATAACGAGCAGAGTTTATATATGGACTAAATGAACTAAGGAGGGAAGGAAAAAAAAAGAAGGAAGCAAGGAATGAAGGGCGCAAGTATAGGTGGAAAGAGGGGAGCCCTGCCCTCCTCACTGACCAGAAGTGGTGCTGACTGACAAAGACAAATTTCTGACTGGGAATTTGGGGTAAAATAAATTTAAAAATTAAATTTTTTATTTTGGCATAAATGTTTGAAGCAGCTAATCACAGAATGGATTTACAAAAACACCTTTTCCTCCAATTTACTCACGTTTCTCTATGTTTAATGTCTAAGTATAGTAATATAGCATCCTGGAACATCCCAAATCATGTTAATGTCAGAGTTTAAATCGAGCTGGACATAGAACTCGATGGTAGACCCTTGACTGGACAAATTTCACAGGAATTTCCAGATTATTCAGGTCTACTTATTTGCAATTGAATGAAGTCAGCTTTATTTGAGTCGGATAGGGATGGCTCTAAAATTGGTTAATTCTCATTAATTTCCAATAAAAGAAGATCTTATTTCCATTCCTCCCCCTGCTACAATGTTAAACTGGGACAATAATAGGATAAACTGGCCTAATTTCACAACCACCAAAATGTTTTCGTACTTTTAGTCCATGGCTGAAGACAAGAACGCTACGAAAAACCTGAAAAGCTCAGAAGCTTATCAGTTCTTACATAGCCACAAAGTCAGCTGAGTGCTGGTACACAAATGCAGCAGTTAAGTGAACATGAAAGCATATGTTTAACCAATCAGAGGCTGGGATGGTGCTTAAGGAAGATGGAGACTGCGCTTTTATGGCGGGACCCTGTCAGTCAAGCAGCCACACAGCTGATGTTCTATACTACAGAGTCCATCCCGTCACCACAACGCCATTTATATACATTTAAAAAAAGAAAACTCCCTGTGTTAATTCATGGCACTTTTTTCCCCCCATTTTTCTTGTAGACACACGCACACAGAGACACAAACGAACAAATACAAGCCAGA